AGAGGCGGGTGAAGTGGAGAGCCATCGTCGGTGGCCTATGCTCTGGCAGGAGCGAAGGGCCTAAGTAAGTAAGTAAGTAAGTAATACCAACTTTTACGTGGCAGCAACTTAAAGAGCAGTAATTGTCAAATTATGTGTCCGTTCTAGGGCGAGCTTCACCGCCTCTGGCAGGACCACGTCGGAAGAGGGGCACTAGTAAGCAGGTCGTTGACCTCTGACATTGATAACACGCTACCTTGCGTGTTTTCATCAAACAACAATAAACGTAGCTCAGGCGAATCGTGATCGGACACGGTTTCAAAAGAATGTATGGCACGTGGACCAGATGTGAGGAATGCGAGTTACCCGAATCGGTTTGGGTGACTTCACATGAACAATGCTTTTATCTGTGATTCTCCACACGTGCATGTACAGGCAGCGGTCACCCATAGCTGCCCGATTATTTCTCCTGCGGTCCCTCAACAGTCGTAATGTGCTTATTGGAATTACTTTTGCGTGTTAACAAAGTTATCGTAACGATCGGACGGGCCAACAAATTTGGTTAGGAAATAATAGACTCCAACAACCGCTTCACAACTGACCTTGCTTCGGATGTTCTCTCAAAATGACAGTTTTGTCGAAAATAAATTTTGAAATAATTGTAAGACAAATATTTACAGGAATACCACTCATGGCCGTTCCTAATTGAAATTCTCTCTGCCCATCTTCCTGAACCCCCGAGTTAAAAAAGAATCATGATAGTTTGAAGTTTTGACCACGAAATATTGAACATCGATACAAGTGGCTCACAAGTAGCGCTCACCCGGGAAGATGGAAAGTGTTAATTCGACCCGTACATGACGCCCCCCCCCCCACCTAACTAGCCTGGTATCGATATCCAGTCTGATCGTGATTGGGGGTATTGGGGTGTTCAGGCAGGTTGTGTCTTCGGGGGCTCTAATAGCTTCCCCCGCCCAGTGCAACAGGCCGTCCCGCTAGGACTGTTACGCTAATCAGAGACAGTATATGCTTGGGGATTTGGTTTTCCCCCAACACGATGTTCGTGGAGGGCTAATTAATCTCTCGTGAAATACACACCGGGAAACCTAAGTGAGGCGGGTGAGACAGAGCTCTTACAGCCCCGACAACGATCAGACTGGATACCAGGCTACACCTAACGGATCGATCTCCCAAACCTGAGTACATGTTGTCGCTGTTTTACGCGCTGGGTCAGCGACCTCTGACCTCCAGAACAATGCCTCACGATATTTGAAATTCTATTCAACAGAAAATAGCCAGCTACATGATATTGCCTTGATCGTACAATAAGCAATGTCTAAAGTGCTTGCAAAAGGATACGCTAGGGTCATCTTCAATAATTACAAAACCACTCATTTGCTTTTTTTAAGAAAACAAGACCGATTGATCATCCGTTTGGGGTGGTTTCAATGATGTAATTTTACAATAAGCGATGTCAAATGTGCTTGTAAAGGATACGCTAAGGTCATTTTCAATGATTACAAAGCCTTTAATTTACTTTCTTAAGAAAACAAGACCGATTGGTGATCCATTTTGGAGTGGTTCTAATGGTGTAATTTTACAATAAGCGATGTAAAATGTGGGGGCCAAAGAATCAGCCAGGGTCATTTTGAATAATTACAAAATCATTCATTTGCCTTTTGTTAAGAAAACAAGATCGTTTGATGATCCGTTTTTAAGTGGTTGTAATAATATAACAACAATGTACAAAAATATAGAATTCGAGTTTTGGAAGCCACTGAAACGTAATACCCGTTTGTATTCTTACTAGTGACCGGAGCATCTTTCCGAGAGCGTCCGGAGTCGGCTGCCGTCCTTCGCGGCCAGACTGCGGTCATGAAGTGCGCTTTCAGCGGGCTGGCTGAGGACGATGCAGTCGTATGGCAGGGGGGACCTGACGACAAAACAATATCATATGGAAGAAACGTCCTGAAGGCCTACAGACGACACAAAATTGTAGGCGATAGTTCAAAGGGAGAGTTCAACTTAGAAATCAGGAATGTGCTGCTAAAGGATGACGGGAAGTATAGCTGCTATACCCATCCGGATGACACTGCAGATGCCACATTGACTGTGGTCGGTGAGTAACAACATCCATATTATATATTGGATAAGTTCACATAAACTCCACATAGAAAAAGGCAGACATAACCGCACTCCTCTACAGCAAAGTTTCTGCCAATTTTGTAATCTAGATAATATTGAAGATGAATGCCATTTTGTAGTTGACTGCATATTATGTAGAAACGAGATGGATTCCCTCTATACTTAAGTAATAGAAGCTTTAGACATTTAGACAGAATAGAAAAATTCGAATTCCTCATGAAACTTGACAAACCATGTATCATTAGCTCAATATGTTCGTACATCTTCAACTGCGACAAGAAGCGAGAAGAAGTTGAACCTGTAAATAGTATACGTAGATCACATTAGTATGTATAGTTCGTAAGTGTCATTGCTATATTCTTTTCCCTGTTTATCCATGACCTGTACTTAGCTTGTTAGAGCACAAACGTGCAATAAAGTGTCAGACGTCTAAAGTAGCATCCATTTCGTCAGAGCTAGCGAAATTTGTAGTTAAATAGTTTTTGGAGTCTGTAGTTGACCGTTTTCAAAATCTATCCAGTTAATTGTCATTGAGTAACTATTTTCTTGTATCTTATTACCTGGATTTCAAACTTTCACAGACGCATTCTGACAAGTGTTTACTATGGTAGTATCCAATGTTTTACCTAGTTTGCTATAGTTTGGTGACTTGAATGTAATACTGGGCCACAGCAAGTAAATTTTGTGGATGACATCCTCCACAGATTCAAAATCTAATGCGAGCGGGCGAGAAAAAAACAAGGCGGGCCGAAAAAAACAAGGTTCTTACATTTTGAAATTTGACTCAATCATTGTACAAATGGTTTTGATTCAATGGGAACATCACATATACACAGCCAACATCACATATCACTGCATCAAAGTAAGAAACAAAACATAAAATCAGAGCCTTTTGTTGTATCCTCTCTTTATAGTTATCTGCCATCCACCTTCTGGCATGGCAACAAACATCTTGGGATATTTTCGGCATGTTGACCACTGTCAGAAGGTACCAAAATTTCTTGGTTTTTTTTCCAAAATCAGGCGAAAATTAATGCGCTCGCTGATGTCATCCATAAAAATTACTTGCTGTGGCCCTATGTTTATTACACGTATCTGTAACCGTAATGTTAAATATTTCAGTCCCGATGCCGAACCCTCCGACTGTATCAGGTGGCGAACTTCCGGTGACGTTAGGTGATCAGCTGTCTCTGACCTGCCGAGCGTCAGGTGGGCACCCCGCGCCGCGACTCACCTGGCTCAACGGGACAGAACCGTTCAGGTACGGACAGTTGACTTTTCCCAAAACTTGGGACCAGCAAGCCCACCCCCCATCCACCAGACATTTTATTTATTTATTTATTTATTAAGTCTTATTAAGTACAATATGCACTGTGGATGGCATGGCATAACAGGTGTTTCTGACATGAAACACCTTTTCAAAGCCGCCATACCAATAAAATGACAAAACAATACAATAAGTAATCAGATCACATAATACAATTTGAGAAACAAATAAATAAATTTAGAAAGTACAAGGCAAGTCAACTTATTAACATTGTGAGAGTTATTGATTCGAGACAACAAACAAATAAAGACAGTGATATAGCCAGCAGTGATATCACAGTTAGCGCGGTCTTGTGGCCAGACAAGTAGCGCAAGCACAAGATAACTACCACGTACAGGGTTGCTCTAAACTGTAGGTTTGGCAAAATCTGTTGTACATAAATGAGGAGAGTTTCCTTTTAAAGGCAACCACATCAGTTAGGATTGAAGCCCTCATGTACTCTACGAACAGGAGATAACTGAGTCATTAGCATTAACCTGGTCGTGAATCTGACTTACTTTTAGCCTTGTTCATGTTAAGTCACCCAAACCGCGATTCGGGTAACTCACATTCCTCACATCTGGTCCACGTGCCATACATTCCTTTTAAAACGTGCCCGATCACGATTCTCCGAAACTACATTCATTGTTGTTTGATGAAAACACGCTAGGTTGCGTGTTATTATTGACAGAGGTCAACGACCTGCTTGCTGGTGCCCCCCTCCCAGCGTATCTCGGCCGAATGCCGACGTGGTCCCCCCAGAAGCGGTGAAGCTCGTCCTAGAACGGACACATTATTTGACCATTACTGCTCTTTAAGTTGCTGACACGTAAAATTTGGTATTGCATATAAAAAAAGAAATATCACCCCGTCCTATCATCCATGACCAGGCGAAGTCACATTGAAATCACATTGCGTTCAGATGCAAATCGCGATGCGGGAAAGCCGATTCGAAACCACCTCTAGAAGTGGTTTGGGATCAAGGCGCTTTCAATGTGATTTGGAGCGTTCAGATGGAGCCACTTGAAACCGGGTTCGGGGTAAACCACATGTAAAGCGCCTTCACTGACTTCACATGAACACGGCCTTTGTTTATCTTATACACCATTTAAATATTCATTCACCTGTTGACTACAAATCTCTAAAGAAAGGTAGTAGATTCTTAAGTAACTGCTTTCTCGGTACCTTTTTGCTATAAATGTACTGTTGAAATGCATCAGCTGTAACATATAGATAGTACATGTTCTAAAACCTCTTACTGCCGTTTCGGTGTGGACCAGGTCGGCCACTATGGCCACAACTGAAGACCAGAGCCTGGAGCTGTTTTTGCCGCGGGTGACGAAATGGGATCACGGCGCCAACTTCACCTGCCGGGCCGACCAGGGCTTCCCCCAACTCGCCAGGCCCAAAGCCTCCTCCAGGATACTCAGAGTCAAGTGTGAGGCACATGTTTTTATACAGATACATAAACCTGAATGTGAGAATTCCAGGATACTCAGAGTCAAGTGTGAGGCACATGTTTTTATACAGATACATAAACCTGAATGTGAGAATTCCAGGATACTCAGAGTCAAGTGTGAGTTTGTAGTGGAACTTTTTTGAAATTTTATTTCGAAACCACTTTGCAGACTTTACATCTGAATTACCTCAGTATACGGTATATGATGGTTGTTTAATCTGGTCCGAAGACCCCCCGCTGTTCCATGTTACCTTATATGGTATATGGTGGTTGTTTAATCTGGTCCGAAGACCCCCCGCTGTTCCATGTTACCTTATATGGTATATGATGGTTGTTTAATCTGGTCCGAAGACCCCCCGCTGTTCCATGTTACCTTATATGGTATATGATGGTTGTTTAATCTGGTCCGCAGACCCCCGGTGGTCCATGTTACCTTATATGGTATATGACGGCTGTTGAATCTGCTCCACACACACCCCATGTTACCTTATATGATATATGACGGCTGTTGAATCTGGTCCGCAGACCCCCCGGTGGTCCATGTTACCTTATATGATATATGATGGCTGTTGAATCTGGTCCGCAGACCCCCCGGTGGTCCATGTTACCTTATATGATATATGATGGCTGTTGAATCTGGTCCGCAGACCCCCCAGTGGTCCATGTTACCTTATATGGTATATGACGGCTGTTGAATCTGGTCCGCAGACCCCCCGGCGGTGTCGGTGCCCAGTCCGTCCGTCCACGTGAGAGAGGGCGAGCCGGCCAGTCTCAGCTGTATGGTGGACAGCAACCCTAAGGCCACCGTAACATGGCGGAAACTGGGGGACAGCCTTCGCTCATTCAACATGCCCAGGTAAAGGGAAATATAATGTGAGACAAACTCTAAAGTAACCTGACCAACTTTCTACAACCAAACTGTAGATAGATTGTGACAAAAGACCAGTTACAGCAATACTTGTAAAGCTGATGGGAGGTTGGGTACACTAGCTAAATCAAAATATTTAAATGTTTAATTCTATGCCTCTCAGATGCATTTTTATGCCCTTCTCCCTGGTACTTAATTACGCCCCATTCCCAATGGGCCGGATCAAGCCTAATTGATTCGCTTTGATCCGGTTTGATAATCGTATTATTGTATAAATGCTAAATTTTATTCATGAACGTTATTTCTTTTTATACATATATATATGATAATTGACCCATTGTTTTATTTTGAATTGAGCTCTGAAAATATTTGTAATCGGAATCCGCAATTCAGCCTGCGGGCTGCAATGGATTTGATTTTCAATAAACCATTCATCATCATCATCATCATCTTCGATCCGGCTCCGATCTGGCCCGATGTAGCCTCTACGTATACCAGGTCTTGGGAAACGGCTGGAAAGAGTAGAAATCGGTCAAATAGAGAGATACCATTCCTACTCTTTCCAGCCGTCTCCCAAGACCTGGTAGAGGCTACATCGGGCCAGATCGGAGCCGGATCGAAGCCGAATCAAAGAGGCTAGGTCTAAGCAGAATCGAAGCCGGATCAAAGCGAATCAATTCGGCTAGATCTGGACAAGTTTATCCTTAGTCCTAATCCTATGACCAAAACAAATTTAAGCTTTGGTCCCAATTTGAGAAAGGGGCCCTGCCGGGTAGTCCCCGAGCCGTTTTTTGGCACTTTCGGCCGTGACCCCTACGTGGCCCGGTGGGACACCCCGCGGCGACCGGGCTATTTTTTGGCCCGGCGGGGACCCGAGAAGAATTTAATTCTGACTTAAATTATACTCGGGCCCCGCTGACATAAAGACGCCGTGACCTCATCGTGAGAACACCGACAGGCACCCCTCCGGTTGCTGGCAGTCCACCGGGACTAATTTTGATACGTCACAGACCAAATACACACAATAAGGGTGTGTACTTCGTAAGACCGTGTCAAATGTGTGACGTCACAGATCAGGTGATCACAACAAAAGCATGAACTCTGTATTAAGTGGGTCAGTACAAGACATCGTCAGAGAAGCTGCCTGGTACCTTACGGGTTTCTGTAGGAGACCGACCAATAAGGGTAACAAAATGCCATTGAAGGAAACTTTTAATTGTGACCACAACAACCGGTGCCCGCCAGGCTCCAGAACCCGGCGGGAGCCGGCCTGGGCTACATCCCCGGCGGGCACCGGCGCAATTGGGACCAAAGCTTCAGCACGCCGAAGATTAAAACCAAGTTCCCCCGCCCAGGGACCACGTGTTGCACCTGCCCAAGGCGTCCCGGCATGACGGCGGACTGTACCATTGTGAAGCGGATAACGGGGTCCCTCCGGTGGGGCTCGGAACTATCACCCTGCAAGTCTACTGTAAGTAGAACAAACCATTACAATGTTTTAATCCCTAGTTCAAAGTCTTTTAAAAATATAGTATAATAAGTGTGTGGGTAACAGTTTACGGGAGTAAACTGAAATAAATTGTCTGCAGGTCAGTTTGTTCCTCTTCTCCAAATGAATAACGTACTAAGCTTCTTAACCATGGTGACTGGTGCTGTAGCAGACACCCTGTGGTGTTGGAATGGAGGGGCTGGTGGCCATATATGGCGGGTAAGAGCAAACCGTAAGTAGCACATGATACAGTGCAAACCATTACAGGGTTTGAATTCGAAGTCTTTCAAATATTCCTGTAGGTAATTTTGTATAAATTTCATGAGGGTAAACACAGACAAATTGTATCTAAGGCCGTGTTTATGTGAAGTCACCCAAACCGCGATTCGGGTAACTCACATTCCTCACATCTGGTCCACGTGCCACACATTCCTTTGAAACCATGTCCGATCACAATTCGCCTGAGCTACATTTATTGTCGTTTGATGAAAACACGCAAGGTAGCGTGTTATTAATGTCAGAGGTCAACGATCTGCTTGCTCATGCCCCCCTCCCAGCGTATCTCGGGGATCGAGGCGCTTTTAATGTAATTTGGAGCGTTCAGATAGAGCCACCTGAAACCGGCTTCGGGGTAAACCACATGTAAAAGCGACTTGGGTGACTTATATATAAACACGGCCTTAGGCAGCTTGTGTTTTGGCTTAAGCCCCTGTGGTCTGTCGTTATTATGACATCGACAGAAGGTGAAAATACTAGTATTGTTTTTCCTCGATACTTCTTCTTCTCCGAGTGAATAAAGTCAATGACCTGGACCGGACAGCTGCCACCATGGTAACTGGTGCTGTAGTAAGCACCCTGTGGTATTGGATTACATCATGTAGCAAGTTGTATAATTGGAAGGGATGGTCACCATATATACTACTGCATGATGTTCTCCCTGTGTTACAAACCCACCTGAGATAGAAACTAGCATGGTATAGTAAGGCATTATCTATTTGATACAGAGTCTCCTATGATGGACGCATCCATGGAGAACCATGGTAACTGGTCTTGTAGTAGGCACCCTGTGGTATTGGATTACATTATGTAGCAAGTTGTATAATTGGAAGGGCTGGTCACCATATATACTACTGCATTATTTTCTCCCTGTGTTACAAACCCACCTGAGATAGAAACTAGCATGGTATAGTAATGCATTATCTATTTGATACAGAGTCTCCTGTGATAGACGCACCCATAGATTACCATGGTAACTGGTGCTGTAGCAGGCACCGGCTCTGTGGTATTAGATTGTATAATGTAGAAAGCGGCATATATATATAGTTGGAGGGGCTGGTCACAATATAAAGTACTTCATTATGTTTTCCCAGTTTCAGACCCTCCTATGATAGAAACTAGCACGGTATAATACTGGGTTAATGTTCGTTCTCTGATACCAAATGAATACGATCTGTCACCATGGTAACTGGTGTTGTAGCAGACACACTGCGGTATTGGATTGTATGATGTAGCAAGTGGCAGAATATCAGCATTGTTTTCTCCCTGTTTAGACCCGCCCGAGATAGACTCGTCCATGGAGGACCAGGTGACGATGCAGTTCGGGCAAGACGACCGCTTCCTCCAATGTCTCGCCGACGGGAACCCGAAACCTCACATCCGCTGGCGGCGGAAGGATACAAGTCTGTACTGGGACAACCCACTCCGCTTCCACCGGGTGCGTTACGACGTGCAGGGCACGTATCAATGCGTGGCTGCCAGCGACGGATTCCGGGAAGTCACCAAGGACGTCTACGTGGACGTCGTAGGTCGGTGAAATGTTGTCCTCGTCCCACCCTTTACCTGCTATCTACTCTGTCAAAGTCAACTTTAGCTTTTATCCTAATTGTTTCTGGTACTTTAATCTAGTTTCGACGGGGTGACACAATGTTTCAAGGCTAAGACTGTCGAAGTGACCAGAACTAACATTGGTGAGAAACACATTGCTGAAAGTAGAATTAAAGCAATACATTCATGAGTGTCAAGGGGTGAATATCCCGGACACGGAACGTGACTATTTTGCGAGAATAGTGAAGGAAGCCATGTACATCAGGGCATACCAACCTTCGCTCAACCGGGACGGGGGGTGGTACCGACTTCTGACGAACTTTGGCCCTCAGTGCTGACGTCACACGTGGGTAAAAGTCACGTGTCTACAGCACTCGTGTCAAAAAGCTGACGAAGACCGAGTGAGTCAATTTTCTTGAGTTGCAGAACAGTTTAATTCTCATTACATTCATGATAGTTTTTTTTTTTTTAAACCAGGCAAGCCGTCCATTCACAGCGGTCTGGCAGCAGTCACCGTGGCGCAAGGAGGTAACGCGAGACTTCACTGCGAGATTCTCGGCGACCCCCTGCCTAGTCACGTGACCTGGTTCTGGCGGAACAAGCACTCGGCTGAGATCGTTGTCATGGCGACAGACGGAGGCATGTCTATCGTCGAAAAGGCGGTAAAAACTGTTGTTCTCTATAACGTAATGGATACCCGTGGAACGTCCCATTTTCCAGGCTATTTCGTGATCAAAAAAGGGGGTGTGAAACATAACTCAGTGAAAAGACTATGGCTCTGAATAGAACTGACTAAGGGGAGCAATGGCCTGAGCAGGTAGGCAGTGAAAAGAGTTGGGACTTGTTCTGTGCAAGTAGCCCTCTACCAGGCTTCGGGAGGCGGCTGGAAATAGCAAAAATTGGGCAAATAGAGAGATAACATGCAGGCCGCGGGGTAGTTGGTCCACCAGAGAGTACATTTTGCCGCACGTTGGCCAATTTCTACTCTTTCCAGCCGCCTCCCGAAGCCTGGTAGAAGCTACTGCATGTGCAATGGAAACGACCAAACAGACTTCATTCTGGCGGCAAAGTTATCAAATCATTCACAACATTGTCAACGTAAGTGTTTTGGGGCGCTCGTAATGTTTCCCAACCGCTACAGTAATTCCAGTCCTATAACTGCCATTCAGAAGCGTGCATGGTTCGCGTGTATCAGAAATGGTACTGATGACGTCACGACTTCCCAGCAGACCGATGACGGGACTTCCAGTACCCTCCTCCTGAAGGATGTCGGGAAATCTCAGGAAGGGACGTACATCTGTCAGGCTGCCAACATGTTCGGGGAGGCTCGGAGGGAGATTCACCTGGAAGTTACAGGTGAGAAACACACCTGGAAGTTACAGGTGAGAAAAACACCTGGGAGTTACAGATGAGAAATGCACCTTAAAGTTACAGGTGAGAAACACACCTGGAAGTTACAGGTGAGAAACACACCTGGAAGTTACAGGTGAGAATTAGAAACACACCTGAAAGTTACAGGTGAGAAACACTCCTGGAAGTTTCAGGTGAGAAACTCACCTGGAAGTTACAGGTGAGAAACACACCTGGAAGTTACAGGTGAGAAACACACCTGGAAGTTACAGGTGAGAAATGCACCTGGAAGTTACAGGTGAGAAAAACACCTGGAAGTTACAGGTGAGAAACTCAACTGGAAGTTACAGGTGAGAAACACACCTGGAAGTTACAGGTGAGAAATGCACCTGGAAGTTACAGGTGAGAAATGCACCTGGAAGTTACAGGTGAGAAACACACCTGGAAGTTACAGGTGAATATTAGAAACACACCTGGAAGTTACAGGTGAGAAAAATGCAAGGCTTTTTTGGTACTTCAACCACAGACTTTTGCTATTTCTGTCATATTTCACTGCATGGTGTGTTTGCCTGCATTATTTTCGATTCTAAACATCATACATATCTAGGCCAGCTACACGAGTCTTAAAAATATCACACTTACATGATTATTCTTACATATTTTTTTTGCTCCTTCTTTTTTCAATTCTAAAAATAAGGTCAATAACCACTGTAACTGGTGTTGGATTACACTAATGTAGCAAAGTGGCAGGACAGACCTCCAGGGGCTGGTCACCATATATGGTGTTGGAATAAATTATGAAGCAAGCTGGCAGTATGACCTGGAGGTACTGGTCTCCATATGAATATTGATACATAACAATTAAAAAAAACGCCGAAAAAGACGCTAAAAAAGCCCTAGCCTAAACCCCTGCTTGTTGAGTCATATTTTGATTGATGAGATAAAGCTTTAAACCATCACTTCGCTAGCTTGATAACTAATGTTGGAATACATTAATGTAGCAACGTGGCGAACAGATTTGGAGGTACTAATCTTCGTATGAATATTTACACATAACAATAAAAATAACGCCGACAAACCCCTGCTTGTTGAGGCATGTTTTGACTGATGGTTTAAATCTTTAAAAGATCAGCTCGCAAGCTGGCATGATTGCGACCCCATATATGGTCATATAGGTTCTCACGGATCTCTGGTCGCCATCTCCGTCTCCATGGCAACGGTTGTCCTGGGGATTGTGGCGGCAGCTGTCGTCTGCGTGGCCGTCAAGAAGCGATGGGTCTGCGGGGACAGCAAGCAAGGTACGTGTACAACCATAGAGCGGTAATATACAGTATAATACATGGGTCTGTGGGGACAGCAAGCAAGGTACGTGTACAACCATGGAGCTATGATATACAGCATAATACATTATTATGTATAGCTCCGAGGTACGGCCCACTGAAAATCAGCATGTACAATCACGTAACCAGCTGCAGTCACGTAAAATCTCCATACTTTATTCTTTATTGGTAAAATGTCGCATGAAACATGAAGAAGGTGTAATTTACCAGAATTATTTAACAGAATTACTTTCCTACTCAATTAACTCAAGGTAGATGCTGTTGTATTTCAATTTCAATCACACCAAATTTCTTGGGTTCTTTTCGGGAACGTTGTAGACCCGCCCCCGTTGCCCTCGGCCCGCTCGCTGGCTGCTGTGCCCTCGGGCCGCTCCGTATCTGCTGTGCCGAAGCCCGGGAAGAGGCTGGGCCATGGTACGAACGACTCCGGTGTGGAGGACCTGGAACTGCAGGAGTTGGACGGGACCCTGAAGCCACGTCCGCCGCCTCGGGGGGACAAACAGTGGACAAACGTCGGACTCTCCTACAGCCGTAAGTAACGCTTTTGTACGTGGGGTCGTGTGGCGTAGCGGCAGAGTGCACGACTCGGAACCAAGAGGTCCCAGGTTCGAGTCCTGACATGCCACCGATCTTGTGCCCTTGCTGAGGAAAGGCACTTTACATGACTTTTCTCACTTATCTCAGGTGAAAATGGGTATTGTCTTGTTCCGTATTTGTCCTTTATCTGCGTTGGTGATGGTATAAAATAAGTTGACATAACTTGAGTTTGCCGTCACTATGTCTAGTCATGAAATGTTGGTATAAAAAAACGCTTTTGTAGCTCAACATTCAGCAGGTAAAAAACACCAGACAGTTCCAGAGCCCTGGATAATCCTTCATTCGAAGGAATCGAACCTCTTTCTGGCTTACTTACTCCTCTTGTTCATCCCCTACTAGCCTACTCACTGGCAGATAATAAGGCCATGTTGATTTGATTATGTAGATGACATCCTCTGGGAACCCCAAAACTGATGCGAGCGTGCGAATAAAAAAGTTTGGCAAAAAATAGTTTTCTTCATTATGGAATCTGGTCATAAAGGCTGAACAAATGGCTAAACGCACAGAAAACGGTATGGCGAATAATGATAAACTCTTCATTTTAATTTCTTCACATTTTTCTTCCTTTCCTGAATTGATTTCGGCATTCTATCGTTTTTCAATACTTTTTTTTTTGCAACATACGATATATATTCGCTCATTTTGTACGATTTACAGTATGGTCGAAAACTTTTTTTTTGGTAACGGATGAAAATTCATGCGTGCGCGGATGTCATCCATATAATCAAATAAACATGGCCTAACTAGGTGCGGCGAGGATGGTTCTGAGATAACAAAAACTACATGCCGAAATTCAAACACATCCGTCCAGAGGATCGTGAGTTACAGATGCGAACACACTAACAACTGAAAACAAAACCTCCGTACGGAGGTAGATCCCCCTTCCCGGAGGCAGCAATGTAATGCAGTGTGTATCGTCTGGGCAGAGGTCAGGGTTGATTTACGGCGGCACAACGGCGGCACAGTTTTAGCCCTATGGGGATTTCTATAGTTAAAGGAGTACTAACCTCTAGAAGGAAGTGCTATTTTCCGATAAATCATGCTGCAATGAATACATAACTAGCCGACTTTTTACATAATTTCGCTTGTACGAGTTGAGCGGCGCATGTTTGTAAAGTGATATTAATATCATTTTCCCCCATGCTGAACCACAATTGATACATCCGGGAATTCTGGCTTACGCAATACTCATACACTTCAGGTCAACATAAACATTTTTCGGCGAAAATGGTAGGAGACAAGCACACTAACAAGCTGATTATTGAGAAATTACTTGCTTTACTTGCTTGACCTGTGGCTTGGATATTATAATATCAGGATGACGAATACAGTGGGAGCCAGTTTCATCCTGCGTGTTTTGATTTTCTCAACTTATTTGCATGTAAGTATCACTTGAACAGATAATTAGATTACGCCACTTATGGAAAGGATAACTAGATTACGCCGTTTTTTTCATCGTCAATATTTGCGGCATAAATGAGGGGCGATAAGGACACCAAGAAAGGCAATGGTTGGTAAGATACCAAAGAACACAAAACGGTACGAATTTTTCTTATCGCCCCCGAAATGAGGTCTGTAACGTAACTTTTTGTTTAAAACATAGACACTAATGGGGTAGCGTGGTGTATTCTGGGATAGTTTTGAGGGTATTTGGAGAGTTCGTCCTGGATTCGATGCGTTTTAAGACTTGCGCGCAAAATGGGCATTTAATTGTATACTGTAAAATAATATGCATTTTTCAATTCCAAAAATAAATGCCTGTCGAAATCTAGCACCTCCTTCTGGAGGTTAGTACTCCTTTAAGGACCCCTAAGTGACTCACTTCGACTCACTGAAAATCATAGTAGGGTGCACAAGCAAGGTTCAGAAGTTTTATATGTTTAATTACCTTCGCCAAGAAGGTTATGTATTCAGTAGCGTTTGTGTATGTGTTTGTGTGTGGTTTAGCAAGATAACTCGAGAAGCAGTGGATGGATTGGAATGAAACTTAGTAGGTGGGTAGGTCTTTATGAGACCTAGAAATGATTAGATTTTGGACTCCTGGCGGCTTTCCTAGGTACTGCAGTAGAAATTTCGGTTTTGATATCTCGTGATCTGGACATGCTAGGGTCACGAGTTTTGAATGGGAGATAGCTCTTGGGACAGGGAAGAAGTGACACGAGTTTGGGTCCCCTATGGGCTTGTTCTGGAACTGCAGGAGCATTTGTTGAAATGTTTTCAAAGGAGGATAACTCAATAACCGGTTGACGGATTGTCGTGATTTTTGGTATGTAGGTAGTTGAAGTAATGCTTGACATAATCAGATGACAATTATGCAAATCAGGAGCTAATTTGCATAATAATGAGGAAATTCTATAAATCTGCATTGTTCGATAATAGAACTATGAAACACTTGTGGCATCTACTTGAGAACGAGAAAAAACATCTGAGGATATAGATTATGTAAATGAGGACTTAATTTACATAATAAATGACAGTTTTTTAATGATTTCATAGTTGTAACTGCTGGTAATATCATACTTGCCACATTTGGAAGTTAAGTGAAGGTGAACATCAATAAACATAATTTATTCAAATCATTACCTCATTTGCATAATTTATGAGGAAGTGCTATAATAGCCTTTTTGTTAAGATAAGGCTGTCATTGGCTGGAGAATATAATCAACTGATATAATCCGTGCAAATGAGGCTCTTATTTACAAAATCAATGATTAAAATTGTATAATTCGTCAACCGCAAGGGTTAACATCATTTGGCGAAGGTATGGGGTCGTGGAACTCTTGTTTCAGAGTGTAGTGTACAAAATATGTGAAAATGAACTTAGATTTGCCGGCTAGTTCTCTTCTCGTGCCTTCTTTTATTAGCGCCACTTCAGAGGTCATGGAACTGCAGCCGACGCACAGTACTAGGCGGGAGAAGTATCCAAGAAAAATCTACGCCGACTGAACACGCACCATAATTCAACTTTTACAGTCTTAAAACTGACGTATTCCTCTAACATTTACCACAGGTTCTATCTCATGCCACGCACAGAACAATCTCTGCACCCTTCTCTAGTATTGTGCAGAACTACTTTGTGCCTGGACTACTTTTGACTACGGGGTTCGCCCATAAATACTGTGTTGTGCGGCCTTACCAAACCCGGTATTATTTCCCCAGGACTGGCGCATGCGCACGCCACCACCTTGCCTCCCTACACGACCGTGGAGCGGCACCGTCCGGACGGGGAGGACATCCGCGCATGCGCACGGGACGACATCCCGGAGGAGGCCATCGTGCCAGACCCAGAATACACTGCGGTGCGTACAAGCTCTAGTCATAGACTGTTGGGTGAAATTTGTTTACTGTTGTTGGTGTTTATGTCTATCTGTACAAGGCACGCCTGTAAAGCAGTATATTGTACTGAGTGCGTCTACCCTGTATACAAAGAAGACAGAAATAAATAAATAAATAAATTTGTGGATGCAAAACGATGCAACTCACTCAGATTTACATTGGAGATACCAAGCGCTTCTAGCTCTGCTTGACTGTTTCTAACAGTCAATTAGATACAGAAGTCCAAATACTACGCACGTGTTAATGGGCCTAAATTTCCCTCCTAGCTCTGATTGGCGGATGTTTTTCCGTTAATGAGATATAGGAGGTTATCACGTAATGTTATCTTATCTTTCAAATAGCATTTTTAGCATTTAATTTAACATTTTAATGTCTTGGGGTGGTGGGACTACGGCGCACAGATATGTCAACTTTGTATATTTAAATGTTAATTGTACTTTTTTGTTGTGTGGCGTTGTTAATATAAGCTGTAAACTTGAGTGCAGCGTCACACTGTCCTTGTTATGTTTTCATGTTTTGATGAATAAAAAAATTGTGGATCCTGAAAAATGGCTTCCTTCACTCGGCAATTTAACTTTTCTAAGAGTGTAGTGACGTAGAATGTGCAATTTTACCTACTCACCAATTGTTGTATCCAGAACCGTGCCTTATCCAGAACCATGCTCAGGCACGGTACTGGATAGTCCAGACGTATCCAGAACCATCCACAGTTTTGAATAGCCCAGGCGTATCCAGAACAGTGCCTGGGGCAGATCTACATTCTTGGATACGCAGATATAACTAGTCTGCTCTGTTAATCTTTACTCAAACACATTCACATATATGATGACAGGAGCCTAAATCCCTCCTACTATGAAATTGCAACATTATGTAACCCAACACCAGTTACCATGGTGAGAGACAATCTGGTTCAATCAGGTCAGAGGTCACTGTTTGGAGAAGAGGAAATGTAGCAAAAACAATATGTTTTCATTCGGTAAACATAGTAAATGGCGCTCTAGATATAATAAGTGGCGTTCTAGATATAATAAGTGGCGTTCGCACTCCAACCATCCTAGGTCGTTGTCGCACCCCCAACGGACAAGAGGCGGTGGAGCAGACAGGCGGCCTCTAGCGGCTCACGCGTGTCCTGCAGCGTGCGTGACAACGACAACCAGGCAGACAGCATCTGATCCCTGCATGTCTAGGGCGACATAAATAATGACATCACAGCTCTTCTGACTTACCGTGGCGTACGTTTTTATGTGCCAAAAAGGAGCTTTAACTGACGAACCGAGCTTAGCCAATACCTTAACATGAAAAGGCAAAAACCAACTTGAGATTAGCTGTGATATAGACTAAGTAGAAAAATTTAAGTTTTGTAACTAGCGTCTACTGACAGACATTTCACGAATTCGGCAGGATATTTCCATGATCCATGGTATAATTCCACAGGATAAACATACAGCAGGTGTATACTGAGTGTTTTCAATAACGACCAAGTACTAATATTCCATGTTATCATGAAAGTTCATCTGTGTTGGTAGTAATCATAATAAAACGTTAAACTTTATTCCAGCACACAGTTTACAGAGATCAAATTTTCAGCGACCACTGTCGCCTTCATCAGGATAATTATTGACCAATCACTTAACAACGTGATCTCGCGAGAGTTACGGTTTACAAACACGCGAGATCACGTTGTGAAGTGATGGTCATTAATTATCCTGATGAAGGCGACAGTGGTCGCTGAAAATTTGATCTCCGTAAACTGTGTGTTGGAATAAAGTTTAACGTTTTACTACTAGTATTCCATATTACCAGTTTTGATGCCTTGATTGTCTGTTGAGGAGATTGATGTAAAAAGTATTTGTAATTAAAACACCATATTCCATACTTTTATTGTCTTATCCGCCTAGATAATATAATTGCAATATAGGCTTCTGCACCGGTGTGTAATACTTAAAAACATTTTTGCTCTGAATAAATTTGACATGTTTTACATGTACTCTGTACACATACATTTTTATGATAACAATGATGTCTTTAGCTTTTATTAATTAGCCACTTTTTGTAAATATGCATATTCTTCAGCAAACTTCAAGATTATGTACACAATACATTGTACGTTGTACATAACGTATGTACCAAGACTTAGGCCGTGTTTAAGTGGAATCACATGTGGTTTACATGTGGTTTACCCCGAAGCCGGTTTCAAGTGGCTCCATCTGAACGCTTCAAATCACATTGAAAGCGCCTCGATCCCAAGCCACTTCTAGAGGTGGTTTCGAATCGGTTTCCCCGCATCGCGATTTGCGTCTGAACGCAATGTGATTTCAATGTAACTTCGCCTGGTCATGGATTACGGGGTGATATTTCTTTATTTATATGCAATACCAACTTTTACGTGGCAGCAACTTAAAGAGCAGTAATGGTCAAATAATGTGTCTAGGGCGAGCTTCACCGCCTCTGGCGGGACTACGTCGGCATTCGGCCGAGATACGCTGGGAGGGGGGCATCAGCAAGCAGGTCGTTGACCTCTGACATTGATAACACGCCACCTTGCGTGTTATCATCAAACAACAATAAATGTAGCTCAAGCGAATTGTGATCGGACACGGTTTCACCAGATGTGAGGAATGTGAGTTACCCGAATCGCGGTTTGGGTGATTCCACTTAAACACGGCCTTATTCTAAACTATAGTTCCGGACAAGTCTTGTAGGGTCTCGTTCCCACTCACACGCGTTATATACATCCACTCTCCTCTGTGACAATGATTAAACCGTTTTATCCAATCTCTATACGTATCACGGACTGAGTCATTTATGTAATACCTTATACGGTATCGGACCGATCACGGTATTATAAGTATAAGCAGGCGTCCCTACCAGAGGGCGACCTTTACCCTTTGTACCCCTGTGACCTTGGGTACACTGCCTGCCACGCCTGCGTCTGCCAAAGTCTTCGTTTTTAAAATTTAAATCTTGAAGTGTTTTTTTTTTCAGCGACTTGAAGACGTCTTCGGCTCCAAGCATCCCCACCTAGATGAAAGAAGTGGTCCGGTCGACTTTTCCAGTTGGTTTGCAAATTTTATACCGCAAATTGACTGCCTTTTATTAAGGTGTCCTCCCTCCCCAGAGAATAACCTAATTGCCTAATTAAAATCTAGTTATTCTCTAATAACTACGGATAATTAGTAGATATCAATTTGTGCAAACGTACGTTTTCAGCTTTGACCATTATGCACAGGAAAATCATATTTTTATTTCAGTTACTTGTACCAAAGTGCTATATTATAACTTTAAAGATAGTTACATTTGGGGCAATAAAATGTGATGACGTCATCCATATGGTCCATAAAATCATATTCATAACCCTTTTGTACCCCGGTATCAATATTCAGTACAACTACAGTTCTTTCTAAATTTCTAAAATGCCAAATTAGCCAGGGAGGACACCTTAAAACAAGTGTTTTTTGCCAAAAAGCTGGCACTTCGGCGCGCTAGCAGTGTGATATGTTGTACATCTTACACATGCAACCATGCATCTGCTTTGAAATAACTTTATAGGCATGCCACTCTACATCTGCTTGACGACGACTCAATAGTCAGATCATGGATGCCATCTGCTTGGAGATAACTCTTACATATATACCACCCTACAGGTTCTTGGAAATGATTATAGATATGTTCCTTTACATCTACTTTGAGATGATGCTATACATAGGCCGCCCTAGACATTAATAGGCTAGGATCCTCAGATATACAGTAGATATTTTGATTTGAGTCTTGTCTTCAGTGACATTTTAGAAAACAGCAAAAGTGTGGTAGAGATTTTACAGATGACAGAAAGTGAGCTGGATATTTTTTTTTTGTATTTGTCAAAACATTTAAAAAATACTGTTGCATTCTTAATTTAAAAAAAAAACAAGATACCCCATCTGAAGAGTTCATGGCTGGAAGGGCTGCCACAGGGGTCAAACTTCAAAACAATTTGGTACAGGCACTCTCTAACAAGACACTAAATGCCATGATCAAAAACTTTGTCTACATGGAGAACAATCTTTTTCGATGAACTTTCGGTGCTCTAGACAGCTGGAAATCTAAAGGAGCCAAGGAGAGAACAAAGTTTTCCGGAGAGAACATAGTCAGATGCACGTTTTCTCCCTGCCCTCTGTTTAAATGTGCCATCTTGCTCAATTTTCACTAAAATTACAGAAAACCAAGGAATTGGTATAACCAGAAGTTCAGCACCAAGGACAGGACATCTGCACATTGATCCCCTTTGTAGTTACTGAATTTTCCCCATGAAATGTCGAAGAACCAAGGAAATAAATTGGTGTGGGTTTATGGTGAAAAAAAGATAAATAAATATCCAAGCAACTCATCAAGATGAGATGAGATGAAAGAAAAAAAGTTCACTAACTACATATTGTTTCATTGCGCCATCAGCAGATCTTAATCTACTGTACTTACTAGTCTACCAGTGAGCTGTGAGCGCCACACCACTCTTAGAGCTGACTGCAGAAAACCTGTTTCTCCTGACCAGAAATTTTGCCAGGAAGTCTCCCAGACAACTGAATCCAGTTCTGCATTAGCAGTTTTCAAAACTTGACTTAACGGTAAGTGTTGAGTCATGAATTAGTCTTCTGTAGTAGTAGGAAGACTGAACGTCATGTCCAGTATTGTTATCTTATTTAGATTCAAGCTTGACAATACCAAATTTAGAGAGTGCAGCATTCTTGACACTTCTTCTTCTTCTTTACTCATCCTCTTCTGAGGTGCAGCGCGTGAAGTTTTGTCGCCAGTACTTTCTGTCTTTCATAGCAGACAAAAGTTCCACTCCTTGTAGACCAGTGTCAGACTGGATAAGACCTTTGAGTGTTGTGATTGGACGCCCAATCCTCCTTTTTGCCTCTGGAGTCCAGAGTAGCAATCGACCCGCTGGTTCTGTACCACGAGTCACATGACCCGCAAGGCTGAGCCGACGTCTTTTCACTACCGTGGTGATGTTTTGGAGTGTTCCATATAACTGTTTGTTTTATTATTATTTGTGATGTGTTTACACCAGGGTATGTTATAGACTACCCGCAACATCTTAGTGTAAGTACCGTCAAGTTTCTTGGATCTCATAGTATTCATGACCCAAGAATCGGATCCGTATAAAAGAATAGCTTCAATACATGCTTCAAATACTTTTGTTTTAGTTTGTTTTCTAATGGAGGATTTCCAAACTTTGTGCAGTGAATGGAGGGCGCTCCACGCCTGGGCGATCCTAACATTCATGCCATGATCACTGTCAGTGTAGCCTCCTAGGTACTTAAAATCGGCAACACGCTCAATTGTAGAACCATCAGAGGCTAGGAGATTACCCACTAATGTTGGGTTTAAGTGCATATACTTGGTCTTAGATGCATTTAGGTACAAACCACTTTTTGGCATGAGTTTTCAACTCTGGTGAGTAGGTTTTGTGCAAAAGATATACAGTTTTCTCGACACTACCTTAGGCTAAGGTATAAGAACAGGCTTGATATTTCTGAGCTTGAGACGTCCATTGTAACCATGAATAGCTGTGTGAAGATATCATCAATTGCCACTTTGACCAGCACCAAAGGAAATAAGAGTTCCGAGACTTCATACCTCCATGAAATATGGGCTTGATATGTAAATGTAAATTTCTTCTTTAATTATGCAAATGTCCTCTGCATTAACATGATATATGCGTCGTGATGTATGTTAACTTTTGATTAACTTACAGATGTCCCAAGTATGACATTCCCATCATTCACCATTAAGAAATCATAGAATTTTCGCATTAATTATGCAAATTAGGTAATCATTTGCATAATTAGTATCTGTTGATGTTCCGCCTGCCATAGGTTACATACATGACATGTATGCAAGTAGTATAATGTAAAACACTGTAATTATAGAATTTCCTCTTTAATTATGCAAATAAAGTCCTCATTTGCATAATTTTGCACACCAAAAATTATGAAAATATGTTGTTCCTATCTGGACTTTTTGGCTTTTACAAAAGCGATTAAAATTAGCTTCAATAACTTGTGCGGAATATGGCTTTTCAGATAAAGCTATTTGAGGAGTTACTGAAATTTAGGCAAAGGGAAATGTTTTCGTGAGATAACAACACAACATTTCCTAATGCATTATTTCCAAATGCACGTTCATACAA